GTAATGAGATCTAACGAAAAAAAAAAATATTTCCGTATCGATCTAAACGGTGGGGTGGGTGGGGTGAGGGGGCGACCCAATCTATATTGTCGTGCAGCAGAAAACCACATTCCTCAAACATTAATAAAAAAGACAGGCACGAAAATTGTTGTATAAGGTCTCGATATATATAATTCTGAAGAATTATAAAAGATTTCTTGAGAAAATAATCAATGAACAAACGTTTTATCATCTCACCGGTAATGGAATTCAAAGTAGAACTTCTTTGCTTCGGTTCATCGAATTCCAAATTTAACGGTGTCACATCTTGACCAGCTTTGTCGGTACTAAATTCAAGTATACCGTGACCACTACTCTTATCGCTGCAAAAAAATAATTTATTTATATATCATTTGTTAATATAATTATTATTTAAAGAAAAGTATTTTGTTATAGCCTAGAACACACGCCACTTTCATTTTTGTTTGTTTGTTCAAACTTTTTCAAGAAATTAATAAAAAGTATTAGGAGAGAAAGTTATTATTTTTTATTTATATAATAATTTTACTTTAAAATAGATTATAAACAATTGAGATTTGGATAGTTATAATTTTTAGATAATATAATTTTAAGATTGGTGATAATTAGTGGTAGACGAGGGGTGTGTTAAGAATAAATCCAAAATGTGAGATAATTATAAGTGAAATAATGATAAGACATTGTAAAAAACTTTGTAAGTTGTGCAATAAAAACCTGATTATATATATAGATTATAAACAATAATTTGTTATATATTATATATATATGTCATTAAATGTATTTGTTAAAATTGAAAAAAATAAATCGTCGAGAACTTAATTGCCACAATTCAGTATAATATATTCTAATTTATTATTATTATTATATTATTAATAATTAAAAAAAACAAAAACCCCTTGATAAGATTTAGGATTGCGAGAGGGTGACGTGTCTAGGCTTTTACTATAAAAAAAATAATGAAAACTAGAGAGAGGATAAAAAGAAAAGAAAATAAAAGAAAAATGTTAAAAAATAGATAATTACTAGTCTTCTTGTTCGTCTTGCAAGGAATCTTGTCGACCTGTAGGTATAAGATTGGTGCCAGGACCTCCTCCAGGTCCTCGACGGTATCTTGGTGGACGGAAGGCAAATCTCCTGGCGTCAACTTCGACGTCTGTTGGAGTACTTACAGGAAACCTTGCTGACATTGGATCAACACCTGCTTGTTCTTCCTATCGTTAAGAAATTAATTATTATTATTATTATTTTATTTTTTATTTTTTTTATAACAAATTATATAATCCTTCATCACATAACAATATATGGAGCATTTATTTTGAAAGTGGTGTAAGTTCATTTTTACAGCCCCCCACCCCCTGTAATTATACATTATTTTATTTAAATTAGTTTAAAAGTAATATATACAATCTAATTACATATCGATAAATTAATAGAAACATTGTCAAATTTGATATAATTAATGAATATTTTTTAATTAACTAATATGCAAACTTGTAATTTTCTCAA